ACTCGCTTCGGGAATTATCGTGCCCATCAACCAGACAGACAGAGGGGTGTAGATCGACTCTAAATATCCTGAAACGGATTTGGTCCAAAGAGACCTAGGGTCTAAAACCGTTATTTCGATGAGGCACGTTTTTGCCGTATGAAATTATATACACCCTCTGTAGCCATATGGCCGAAGGTATTAAACAATTCTATTTTGTATTTTGGGCCATATCGGTCCACGTTTTCCCATATAACTATATAACTATACTTCCCCATATTTGGCATTTTGATGATTTTAGCGACATTATTCGCCGGAATCGTTTCAATTCTCATATCAGCAAGTCCAGGTCTTCGTCTAGCCCCCATATAACGGTTTTATTTAAGCGGTATTTTTCGTCATTTTTTTGAACTTTTTCAATATTTCCTAATATCTGGCATGAAGGTATGATTTAGCCTTAACCATTCCTTGTGGTATTCCTAATCTGGTACATAGTGCCCTATTTTCTTTAAATTTGGCATTTCTATGTTTCTGCTCATATAATATCCTGTATGAAGATAGAGAATGGCGAACGCTAAAATAAATTTTGCAAAATTAATTTATATTGTAAAGGGCGGATTTCAAGATTTATCCCAAACTTTCTATTCGCTAATGGTCTATGTAAGACGAGAAATGTAACAGCTATCAGTCCAACAAATTTTGAATATTTTAGTCGAAAACATTCAACTTTATTTTACTTCACTGTAGTAAAATTCCTTACTTACTTGGCCTTAGCTCGCAGGTCTTTCAACATTACTATTCGATATGTAAATTTGTAGATTTTCAATGAATATTTCTATATCGAGAATGCATCCGAAATGTGTGCCTGTGAGTTTTTGTTTGCGTATAACGCTTTTAGTCTTCTTTGTTTGTTTACTGTTTGTGAAACGTGCGACGTAACAGAAATAGAAATTGGCAAAAGGACAAAATTAAAAAAAAAGAAAATGTAGAGAAACAAACGCACACTCGCCAACTGTACTGATCTGATAAAAATCTAACAACAATCAAATCGTACTTTTACAGCTGCGTTAAAACTGTAAGCGTGTTGTGTGTGTGAGTGTGCCAATCAAAGAAAGGAAGACATTTTTTATGTTTGCTAAAATTTGTAATTTACATTTTAGAAAACGCTAAAAAAATAATGAAATTAACTACAAACAAAAAATTGAAATAAATTATAATTTGAAGTTCATAATTTTTTACCTTCAGTCTTATGACTAAAGAGTGAAAATCACATGAAGATGGACAGCCTTACTCATGCAAAAAAAAAAAAATAAATAAATCGAGTTTTTTCAATGCAACTCGAAAGTAAAACCCAATCTAAATTGAGATAATACCCACAGCCTTGCGTTACGATGGTTCAAACTGTTGATCCTTTATGTGTGGGTCTTAAGGAGTGGGCCAATAGTATCCATTTCTTATGAGACCTTAGACTGATATAAATTTTACAACGTGTAAGATTTCGACTATTTCTACTATTTTCTTCACACTTTATGGAATACTAGCAGAACCCGGTGCGCTTCGCTACCCCTTTTGATTTTATATGCATTCAAAATTTTATTTACGAATATATGTTGGATAAAAAAAAAACAAAAACAAATTTAAAAATGAAAAAAAAAAAAATATATATATATATATATTGCACTACTTTAATGCGTTAATAAACAAAACCATTAGAAAAGCAGTAACATGACATGCATACACGAAGGGTTTGTCCTTTGGATTTATTTATTTCATAGCAAATACCAAGCGTGCAGTGGCCAAGTTGAGTGGCATTTCTATTCCAATTAGTGAATTCGAGGTAGCAACATACTTCCCCGTAATAAGCATATTTCAAATAAATTGTTGTGTTGTTTTTTAGTGTTAGCCTAAGGCGTTGTGGGTTAATGGTTCTTATTAAAATCATAACCCAATCTGATCCGATTTAAATATAATTTTAAAAAATTTACTTTTACACTAAATTCCGCCACAACTTTCATATTTCATTGAAATTGGTGCGTCAAATATGTGAGCTATATCCAAATGTGAACCGATTTTAATATAATTTTACTAATTTATTTTCTAATCAAAATCCCGTCACATATCCCATTTTTTTTTTTTTTTTTTTTTTTTTGGAATCGAACATACATATCGTGTATGATGCATAAAATACATGAAATCGGTCGAAAATATATATGAGAGCTAATCCAAATCTGAACCGATTTTAATATAATTTGACTAATTTGTTTTCTAATCAAAATCCCGTCACACATTCCCAATTTCATTGGGATCGAACGTACATATCGTGTTTGGTGCATCAAATAAACGAAATCGGCTGAAGATATATATGGGAGCTATATCCAAATCTGAACCGATTTCAATATAATTTGACAAATGTATATTCGTTTTAATTTCCGTTACACATTCCAAATTTCATGGAAATTAGAGATACATAGCGTTCTTGGTGCATCAAATACATGAAATCGGTCGAAAATATATATGGGAGCTATATCCAAATCTGAACCGATTTCAATATAATTGACAAATTCATTTTTGCTCCCAATTTCGTTACTTATTTTAAATTTCATTAAAATTGGACATACATATCGTGTTTGGTGCACCAAATACATGAAATCCGCCGAAAATGTATATGGGAGCTGTATCCAAATCTGAACCGATTTCAATATAAATTGATAAATTTATTTTCGGATCAAATCCCGGTAAAAATTCAAAATTTCCTTGGAATCGAACATTCATATCGTGTTTGAGGCATCAAATGAACGAAATCGGTCGAAAATATATATGGAAGCTATATCCAAATCTGAACCGATTTCAATATAATTTGGCAAATTTATTTTTGTTCCAAATTCCGTTACGCATTCCAAATTTGGAGACTGTATCTGTAATCGATCAATATATATGTGCCTACAAAATCTAAATTTTTGGGAGGTACCTCCGATTCTGATGCTATATCTCCACTTCCAAGTGTAATTTCAAAAATGTATATAGCCTATGTTACTTTCAGGCGATGTTGCAGTATACATGCAAATTTTCAGGAAGATCTGTTCAGCGGTTTTCGAGTCCATAAATTACAAACAAACAAACAAACATACAAACATTTTCCTCTTTTATAGATATAGAAGAAGAAGATGTGATATTTTTTCAAATCCTCAAATATTCGTGAGGTACAAACTTTTGCTAATAAAATATTTGGATGTATGAAATTTGAAGGGAATCGGGTGTTTATTTTCCATTTTGTGAGGAATATATTTATTTGAAATATTGACCTTTTGCGGGAGATAGTACCAGAAGCAGTGGACCGATATATGCCATCTTCACACCAGATCTTGGGTTAGTAAAAATATTGTGATGTGTGAAATTTGAAGACAATCGGACCCTAATGTCACATTTAATTCGAGTTATAATTATTGAAAATTTTGACCCGTTGTGGGGGACGTACCAGAGAGAGAGGACCGATATACCCCAACTTCACACTAGATATTTTTCGAATAAAAACATTGGGTTGAATGAAATTTTAAGACAATCGGTCCCATATTTCGAATTTTGTAAGAGTTATAATTATACAAAATTTCGACCGCTTATATGGGAGGTACATGTTGGAGTGGGCCCATATGGTCCATTTTCACACCTGACATAGCACAAAGACAATTATTGGGATTTGCAATATCTGCACAAAGTTTGATGCTCCCTTCGTGTTTTATAAGAAAAATTATTTTTGCGAAAATTTTGACTTCTTTGGTAGAGGTACCTGAAAGAATATTGCTCACGTTGAATAGGGGTAACAGCCTCTCTACTTAGATTGCTTAAGGCCTTATTGTAGAAGACCATTGGATCTTCTTTGTAAAGACCATTAGGGGTTTTCATAAAAGTCTTCTCATAGAAAGGCCAGTTAGTCTAGTCTTTAAATATGTGCTCATTAGCTCTTAACATAGAGGGCGTCATTTCAAAATCTGAACGATTAATTTCAAGAGGTTCGTCCTTGGACCAAATTAATTAACTTTGTTAAATTTTGTCTCAATCGAATAAGAATCTTAAAGAGGTGTTTGATATATTGGAGAAGTTTCTGAGGTTCACCTTAAATAAAATTCCTTTAAGCGATCTTCGTTAGAAAGTGATTCTTTGCGAGATCTTCTATAGGTCATTTAAGCCTTCTTTAAATATAAAGTATCTAAGATTTTTTATAGACAAATAGAAGACATTTTAGTGTTTCGAGAGATCTTCAATCTATAGAAGACCTCCGATATTTCTTTTACAGATAGAAGTCCTTTATTAGGCCTCCTATAGATATAATACCTTTGAAGCGTTTTCTATAAATAGAAGTCCTCTATGAAATCTTCAAAAATTAAAGAGACTTGAACGTTGTCTACTTATAAGTGATCCTGGAGAAGTCCTTGGATATATGGCCTTTCTGGACATTTTCTACACACAGAAACATAAACTCTTAGGAGGACTTCTATAGATAGAAGGTCCTTCATAAAAATAAGTCCTTCGTGAGGTCTTTCAGAAATAGAAAATCTTTGCAAGACCTTTTAAAAAACAGGACTCCTTCAGTGATCTTCAATCGATAGGAAAATGTATCTATAGATGAGGACATGTCGAAGTTCTGCTGTAGAATAATTTTCTTAAAACTTTTCTATGCATTGAAGTCTTTCTGTAAATAAAGAAGCTTAAAAATATATTCTGCTAATGGGAGACTTTGAAAAATTACTCTAAAGATAGACAACCCTTAATAGGTTTTCAAGAGATAAATGGCACTTAAGACATCTTTCGCAAATGCAAGACTTTTATGCGATTTTTTAATACATTCTCATATAATTATTATTTACAAAATTTTATATATATATATTTTTATAAAAAACGAAAATTCCGGTTTTTTAACCTTTGTTTACCTTTGTAATATATCTATCGAGACCTACTGCTTATTCAAGACAAATCTTTGTAATTTTCAATTTCATATTGATCTCTTCCTTTCCTTTCTTCCACAGAGTCTACGCACGGCGTGGACGGGCCTGCATCGTGGCGTTTAACGCTCGATCAGGATCTTATTGACACGCTCAAGGGCAGTTTCCCCAGTTGGTTTCAGCAGACGTCGACAGGTGCCATTGGCACAACAACGGTTGTCGGTAACAGCAGCGGTAGCTGCAGTAGTGCCGCCACCAAACTTTTGACCACTACAGCCAATCACATAAATCGCACGAAGACATATAACTACAACAACAATACCATTACCATCAACAGCAATTATCGGCGTAACCATCACAGCTATCACTATCCGAGTATCCTCAACAATACCAATAAGAATAACACCAGCAACAACCACGTGAATAAAATTATCAACGGCAATAACATCAACGGTCTTACCATCACCACGACTACCGCCACATCGAACGCCAACCGCAACAACATCACACCCAGCGGCAGCATAAATCTGCTGAATAATACAATTTGTGTGACCCCCATAACGATTGATACGAGCGGCGGTTATTTGCATACCTCGTCGTCATCCACGGGTCATCATAATTTTCTTAGCAACCAAAATACACTCCATTTGCATCAGTTGAACGGGACCAGTCTGCTAGCCAACGCCTGTTCTTCCCTGTCATCTTCGTCAGCATCGCCAGCATCAAGTGTGACCTCTAACTGTTCGGGTAATTCACATTCAACGATCTCATCGAAAAATTCCCAAAGCTCCACAAGCCACCAACGCCAACAACAGCAGCAACAAGTAGTAGTGGTGGGAGGAAATAACGCAGGAGTAGTAGTAGCAGCAACAAACAACGTTAGTGGTGGTGTTAGTCAAACTATTTCCAACTCTAAGCCACCAATTTTGATAAACAAATCCAACCATTCATCATCATCTTCCAGTTCATCGTCGTCTTCGTCGTCGTCCTCATCGTCATCCTCTTCGTCCTGCTCGTCGTCATCCTCCACGTCCTGCTCATCTTTGTCTTCGTCAGCAGCCAGCAAATCGAAGGCATCGGTCTCCACCACAGTCTCAACGAAAAAATCCTCAAATCCTCCAATAAAGACACCGAAAATCTCCAACAACACCTCCACACTTGCCAAATCGTTGCCAAGCGCCAGCATAACCGTGACAACAACAACAGCAGCAGGTGCAACCGTCAATAGTGTCACTCTGAAACCCATAACCACAGTATCGACACCGACACCAACACCTGTGGCACCACCCCTACCCGCCCACATACCCAGCGCTGTGGGAGCGACAACAATTACCCGTGTAATTCCAAAATCACCATCATTGCATAGCCTCAGTGGTGGTTCGTTACTTGCAACATTCTCATCACCCGGTTCGGCAACAACGTTCGAACTTATATCGGATTCTTCGTGCAACGGCCTATTGAACGCCACCCATCTCAGTGGCAAGGCAGCCTTTGAGCAGACATTTCAAGACGTCATATTATTACAGGAAGCCTACGACGATATGTCAGAGGGTAAGTAGTTGAACAATCTTCGAGGAGTGGAGGATTTTTTATTAATTTATGACTTGTATGTTTGTGTGTGTGTGGTTTTTTTCTTTGCAGGCGAACAACGTTTAAATGCATCATTTCTGGGAGGAGGCATCAGCAGCAGTGATGACGCCACAAATTCCGATTTTTATGATCCACGGCAATCGCCGCCCAAGGCAATTGTCGATTCCAGTCCCCTGCAGCCACAAATGGATAAAAACAAAGAATGTAAGTTTTCACATGAATTCCCAAGCTAAAGTGAAGTAGAGGTCGAGGGTAATTTTGAAGCGTATAAAGGACACCAGATGATAGATCTTCTCATAGAAGAGCAATTGGTGTTCTCCTAGGTCCTGTCACAAAAGAACAGAGATCTTTTAGCAGAAAAATAATTCGGCCTTTCGTATAAAAGACCATAAGGTCGTCTTCCCTTATAAGGCAAGACGTTTCTTCAAAGGTTTCTTCACATAAAAGAGCAGACGGTCTTCTTCTGGTCTTCTCATAAACGACCAGAAGGTCTTCTCGCGAGAAGGCGATAGTCTTCTCAGAAGGCCTTCTTATAGAAAACGAGAAGATGTTTTCATAGAAGACGAAAGGAGAATAGCCAGAAGGTCTTCTCACGAAAGACCAGAAAAACAATAGAAGAGTGGATGTCTTATCAGAGCCGACCTGAATATTAATTCTAAAAGCCGCGCACAAAAACCTAAGAAGATTTTTTTAAAATCCACCTCTAAAAACGCAAAAGATGTATTAAAAATGTATCTAAAAATCTACGGCTAAAGACCTCAGAAGATCCTTTAAAACCCACACCTAAAACTTCAAAAGATCCTTTACAAATTTATTTGAAAATCCATTTCCAAAGACCTCAATAGATCCTTTAAAAATTCATTTAAAAATTCATGCCATACAAGACCTAAGGAGATCTTTTAAAAATTTATTTAAAAATCGAAGCCTTACAAGACCTTAGAAGATTTTTTAAAAATTTATTTAAAAATCCATGCCTTACAAGACCTTAGGAGATCCTTTAAAAATAATTTAAAATTCCAAGCCTAAAGACCTCAGAAGATCCTTTGAAAATTCATTCCTCGGATGATCCTTTAAAAATTAATTTAAAAATCCAAACCCAAAGACCTTGGAAGATGCTTTAAAAATTCATTCCTGAGAAGATCCTTTGAAAATTCATATAAAAAACCACTCCTACAGACCTCAAAAGATCCTTTGAAAATTCATTTAAAAATCTACGCCTAAAGACCTCAGAAGATCCTTGTATCACTATGCTTAATATCCCTTGCCATTTTGGGTCTAATTGAATATGATATGTGAGTGAGTGCGTGTGTTCACTGAAGTATTTGGGGGACATTTAGGTTGTTAGTTTTGTTGCTCTCCATTACCAATTGTAATTAGTAACAAATATAAGCTATATAAGTTATACAAAATCAAATGTTCGGAAATGTCCGGTTTGACATTCGACTGAAGACTTCGAAGAAGAAAAAAAAAAAAACAAGCAAACAAATCAGACTTGGCATGTTTTGAAGGGTCATTTTTGTGAATAAATCGGATGATGGTATCTAATATTTTTTCATAGAAAATAGTTGACTTCAAGACTGAGTTCTCTCTCTCTCTCCGCCGCACAACATTTTGATTACATGAAACTTGAGAACATATTTCGCAACCTTGGAAGATGCATTAAAAATTCATTCCTGAGAAGATCCTTTGAAAATTCATATAAAAATCCACTCCTACAGACCTCAAAAGATCCTTTGAAAATTCATTTAAAAATCTACGCCTAAAGACCTCAGAAGATCCTTTGAAAAATCATTTAAAAATCTACGCCTAAAGACCTCAGAAGATCCTTTGAAAATTCATTTAAAAATCCGCGTCTAAATACCTCAGGAAATCCTTTGAAAATTCATTTAAAAATCCGCGTCTAAATACCTCAGGAAATCATTTGAAAATTCATTTAAAAATCCGTGTCTAAATTCCTCAGGAAATCATTTGAAAATTAATTTAAAAATCCACGCCTAAATACCTCAGAAGATCCTTTGAAAATTCATTGAACAATCCACGCCTAAATACCTCAGGAAATCATTTGAAAATTCATTGAACAATCCACGCCTAAATACCTCAGGAAATCATTTGAAAATTCATTTAACAATCCACGCCTAAATACCTCAGGAAATCCTTTGAAAATTCATTTAAAAATTCACGCCTAAATACCTCAGGAAATCCTTTGAAAATTCATTTAAAAATTCACGCCTAAATACCTCAGGAAATCCTTTGAAAATTCATTTAAAAATCCACGCCTAAATACCTCAGGAAATCCTTTGAAAATTCATTTAAAATCCACGCCTAAATACCTCAGGAAATCCTTTGAAAATTCATTTAAAAATCCGCGTCTAAATACTTAAGGAAATCCTTTGATAATTCATTTAAAAATCCACGCCTAAATATCTCAGAAGATCCTTTGAAAATCCATTTCCAAAGACCTCAATAGATCCTTTAAAAATTCATGCCTTACAAGACCTTAGGAGATCCTTTAAAAAATTATTTAAAAATCAAAGCCTTACAAGACCTTAGAAGATTTTTTAAAATTTATATAAAAATCCATGCCTTACAAGACCTTAGGCGATCCTTTAAAAAATAATTTAAAAATCCAAGCCTAAAGACCTCAGAAGATCCTTTGAAAATTCATTCCTCAGATGATCCTTTAAAAATTAATTTAAAAATCCAAACCCAAAGACCTTGGAAGATGCTTTAAAAATTCATTCCTGAGAAGATCCTTTGAAATTCATATAAAAAACCACTCCTACAGACCTCAAAGATCCTTGAAAATTCATTTAAAAATCTACGCCTAAAGACCTCAGAAGATCCTTGTATCACTATGCTTAATATCCCTTGCCATTTTGGGTCTAATTGAATATGATATGTGAGTGAGTGCGTGTGTTCACTGAAGTATTTGGGGGACATTTAGGTTGTTAGTTTTGTTGCTCTCCATTACCAATTGTAATTAGTAACAAATATAAGCTATATAAGTTATACAAAATCAAATGTTCGGAAATGTCCGGTTTGACATTCGACTGAAGACTTCGAAGAAGAAAAAAAAACAAGCAAACAAATCAGACTTGGCATGTTTTGAAGGGTCATTTTTGTGAATAATCGGATGATGGTATCTAATATTTTTTCATAGAAAATAGTTGACTTCAAGACTGAGTTCTCTCTCTCTCCGCCGCACAGCATTTTGATTACAGGAAACTTGAGAACATATTTCGCAACAATGGCTAGGAAAAACTACATCAGACTTACAGTAGAATATATTGTACATGGTTTCGTTTCGTTTTGTTTTTCTTTTTGCTGCTACTCTGTTTGCTTTATGGTTGGCTAAAACTAAGAGCATTGTTTGCTCGAGTCCTTCAAGTTCCTTATCATGATCCTTGATATAGACATTTAACAAAATGCTGAACATGGTCTTACGACTTTCAGCTACAAGACTTTCGTTTCCGTTCAATTTTGTTTATCTACTCTTGTTTACCATTGTTTCGGATATTTCCTTTTGTGTGTGTGTGTATGTGTGTGGTGTTCACTCATCTGTGTGTGTGTGTGTGTGTTTGTGTTAGTTCTTATCAAGTTGATACATTCATAAACAAGTACAAAAGCAACCAAATCCTTAGCAGTTTTTTGTGAGCTGTTCCTTATGGTTTAGTAAAGTTTATTATAAGTCAACATACACAGACACACACATACCCATCCTGGCACACTATGAAATACGAAATATCATCGAAAGCAAGGATGGGAAATGTGAAAATACAAGGTCAACAATTAAATCATTTCGTTTGTTTAATTCTGAAATAAACGTCCAATTAAGAGATACATCATCTATCGATATCAGATAATCTACTGACTTCTTGGCACATTCAACAAATGCGAGGGGCAGGGGGTGAATACAGATGAGAATTTTTAAATTGATTTTTTCGGTGGAAATTTTTAATTCAGGAGAATAAATTATTTCTCCAGAATAATCAAAGGAGCATTGTGCAAATTTTTAAATTAAAAAAATTTAATGGAAATTAAAATAGGATTTTTAAATGATATCCTAGGAATGTTGGAAGGATTTCTTTAAGGCGTGGATTTTTAAATGAATTTTTAAAGGATCTTCTAAAGTCTTTGGGCGTGGATTTTTAAATGAATTCCGAAAGGATCTGCTGAGGTCTTTAGGTGTGGATTTTTAAATGAATTTTCAAAGGATTTCCTGAGGTCTTTAGGCATGGATTTTTAATTAATTTTCAAAGGATCTCCAAAGGTTTTTAAGCGTAAATTTTTAGATGTATTTTCAAAGGATCTCCAGAGGTCTTTAGGAGTGGATTTTGAAATGAACTTTTAAAGGATCTAATCAAGCTATTAGGCGTCAAGGATCTCTTGAGGTCTTAAGGCGTGGATTTTTAAATTAATTATTAAAGGATCTTCTACAGTCTTTAGTCGTGGATTTTTAAATTAATTTTTAAAAGATCTTCTGATGTCTTTAGGCGTGGATTTTTTAAATGAATTTTCAAAGGATCTTCTGAGGTCCTTAGGCGTGGTTTTTAAATGCATTTTTAAAGGTGAGGTCTTTAGGTGTGGATTTTTTAATGAACTTTTTAACGATCTTCTGAGGCCTTTGGGCGTGGATTTTTAAATGAATTCTGAAAGGATCTGCTGAGGTCTTTAGGTGTGGATTTTTAAATGAATTTTCAAAGAATTTCCTGAGGTATTTAGGCGTTGATTTTTAAATGTATTTTCAAAGAATTACCTGAGGTATTTAGGCGTGGATTTTTAAATGAATTTTCAAAGGATTTCCTGAGGTCTTTAGACGTGGATTTTTAAATGAATTTTCAAAGGATTTCCTGAGGTCTTTAGACGTGAATTTTTAAATGAATTTTCAAAGGATTTCCTGAGGTCTTTAGACGTGGATTTTTAAATGAATTTTCAAAGGATTTCCTGAGGTCTTTAGGCGTGGATTTTTAAATGAATTTTCAAAGGATTTCCTGAGGTCTTCAGACGTGGATTTTTAAATAATTTTCAAAGGATTTCCTGAGGTCTTTAGTTGTGGATTTTTAAATGAATTTTTAAAGGATCTTCTGATTTTCTTAAAGAATCTTGATTTTTAAATTAATTTTTAAGGGATCTCCTGAGGTCTTAAGGCGTGGATTTTTAAATTAATTATTAAAGGATCTCCAGAGGACTTTAGGAGTGGATTT